TCCATCATCATCAAGACATGAAACACTAATCAAGTTTCTACGCAAAGAGGGTACATAAAGAACGTCTCTAAGCTTAAGTACAAAGCCATCCTTTAGTTCTAATGGGAGTTCTCCTATGGCTTCAACTTCAGCTTCGACTCCGTTTGCAACTTTAATGCTTCTTTCTCCTCTTTGTAGGGTCCTCCTCGTATGGAATCCCTATAATCAATTTGCAACATGAATTGTTGCACCTGAGTCAATCCACCAAGTGGATTTTGCATAACTTAAATACCGGGATTCATCTATGAATGTAATAACATCCTCACCTTTCCTCATCAGGTGCTTCAGGAACTCTAGACAGTCCTTTTGGTAATGTCCCTTCTTCCTGCACCATTTGTAGGTGTCCTTGTCTACTTGGTCTTTCTGGTAGTGATCATTCTATGGGGCCTTTTCTTGTGACTTAGAGGAGGAGCTACTATCCCACTGAGGTTTCCCTTGTTGTTTAGAATTCTGATTGTTGAAATTCTTCTTCTAGTTATGCTTCACATGATTGACATTGTCACCTTGTGAGCTCTTGAGCCTCTCCTCTTCTTGCACACACATTGCAATGAGCTTCTCTATATCCCACTTTTCTAGTTGTAAATTGTAATTTACAACAAAGGTCTCATACTCTTTTGGCAAGGAAGCAAAAATCAAATGAACTAGGAACTCATCCTTGAGCCCCATGTCCATTGGTTTGAACTTAGATGCCGTGTTGCTCATTCTTAGTATGTGCTCTCTTATCCCACCGCCAGTGTATTTCTCATTTACTAGTCTCTTAATAAGAGTGCTAGTATAAGCCTTTGAAGAGCCAGTAAACTGACTCTCCGCCTTCTTGAGATACTCTATAGCGGTGGTGCATTCTGGGATTGCCCCTCTTATGGGATCCTCATTTGTGCTTTTGATCACTATCAAACACTTGCGGTTTGAGCTGACCCACTTCGCATGATCAAGATCATACTTCATTCTCACTGTAGCATGCTAACGCTGACGAGTAGCGAAAACTGCTTCAGCCTCGTTTTCTTCCCGCACCGGGTTCTCAGGAACAATGGGACACGGTGTGGTGAGTGCTAGGTCATTATCAGATAGCGCAAGTGCCATCTCAAGCTTCTCTCACCATACGCCATAATTGCTACCATTTAGCGGTAGAATGGCCGAGATAAAGGACATTGGGTTGTAGCTTGAAAACAGAATCAGAAAAAAGTGAGAAACTTTTAATACAACAATTGCATGCCTTAATTTAACGTTGGTCAAAATTAAAACATACAATGTTCTTCTGTATTAATTCTACATCACCGTTGGGCAGAAATAGAATTAATGCATAAAAAACTCATAAATGGATTATAATATTGCTATTAACAATGTTGGTCAGAAAAATAGCAATATCATAAATACAAACTTCTTCTACATTAATTCTACATCACCATTGGGCAGAAATAGAATTAATGCATGTGAAACTTATAAATAAAATTACAATATTGTTATCATCAACGTTGGTCAGAAAATAACAATATTGTAATTAACTTAAATAAATTTTGGCTACTCCTCCAATTAAATTTTTTCCGTTGGTTCCAAAATTAATCAGAGGATAAACTTATCTTTGCAGCGGAAAAATTAACTCAATTTAGTGAATTTTACCCACAGGAAAAAACACTTTTCTAATTTTCGTTGAGCCATTAATCAATTTTCAGGAAATAAACATATTACTGGAAAATGAAAAAAGGAAATTGGACTCAATCCTCTACTGTTCTTCGGCCCAGCGGAAGAAACCGGCCCAGCCTGCTCACGCCCGTACGCACCCGCTGTGCCTCCCAGGCCACAACCTAGGCCTGGGCTGGCAAAGCGGCCCGGTGCGCGCTCCTGCCTGGGCTCTTTCTTGGCCCGTTTTCTCGCAGCCGTCCATCTCAGATCAACGGTCGAGCGTGCATCTCGGCAGAACAAAAACAACGTGTGGCGGGCGGCTCCCAAACCCTAGCCATTTCTCCTCTCCCCTCTATCTCTCAGCCCCGGCAGACATCGAGCGACAGAGCACAGAGAGGTGATGGCGCCATCGTCGGCCCCCTCGCCGGCGCGCGCTCCCCAGCGGGTGAGCGCACCACCGTCAAGCGGCCTAGCGGCGGCGCCCTTGTCCGGAGCTCGCGCGCTGGTGAGGCGGCAGCACGGTGATTTTCTAGCGTGACGGCGGTGTCGGTAGCGGCGAGGTAAGCCGCCTCCCAAGCCCTTCCCCTTTCCCCTTCTTCTTCTTCTTGGATCTTCTTGTATTCTTCTCAAATCTTGTCCGATTTGGGGTTAGGGTTAGGGTTAGGGTTTGGTTACTGTTTATCTTCCCCGACGGGTTAGGGTTAGGGTTCGAGTGCTTTTTTGAAACCGAGACCCCCTTCTTACTCCTTTTCTTCACCCGATTAGGGTTTAGGGTTTGATGAACCCTCTTCTCTTCTTAGATCCGAACGGGATGTAATCACTTTCTTCTTATCTACTACCCCTGACACGATCTACACACTAGATCGAGGGCTCTGATTCCATTGTTAGGCCTTAAGGATCATCTAGGTGTAGATAGGAGGGTGAATTGCTTACTGGTTGAATCAATTAGACCTAGAACATGCTTCGGGAGAGGGAGACAGAGAAAGAGAGGGAGATGTAGGAGCATCTGACCGTCGGGCTTGGTGGAGGATGAGGCGTCCATGGCGTAGTCATCACAGAGGTTGTCGGAGTAGTAGTAGCAGGGAAGTCCGGCGATGGGGTGGTCATCGGGCGTGGCGCAGAGGCGGTGGCGCCGCTTCCCGTCGCTGGCAGCACCCCCTCTTAGATCGGCTAGGGTTAGGGAATGTAGGTGGGGCATCTGGCGGCTCAGGTGAACCTCGTGCCTTGTGCCCCGGCCCCCACCTCCCTTTTTATGGCGCTGTGCGATGGGGGCCCACCAACCATGGAGAGGTTGGGCGCCCCCGATCAGGGCGTGGATCCAAGGGCCCTGGTGGAGATCAAACTAACATACATATATCTGGGTATAACGGTGCTAACTTACCAACTTGGCTTGCCAGTAATGTGTCAGTTAAGATGCTGCGGATACTTCATTTAGAGAAGTGCAAGGAATGGCAAATTCTTCGTCTCCAAATGCTTCCGTTCCTTAGGAAGCTAAAACGGATGAGGATGTGGAGGTTGACAGAAATTTCAATTCCTTCCTCGGAAGAGTTGATCTTGATTGAGATGCCAAGATTGGAAAAATGTCTTGGTACTTATAGGAAGGAATTAACCTCCGATCTAAGGGTAATGATGATCAAGGGCTGAGCGAGTTCACTCTTTTCCAGAGTTACTTTCTTTTCCAAGTTGAGCAGCAGTCATGGTTTTCGTCTCTCAGGAAACTCACCATCTGCTATTGTCCTCATATAATGTAACTACTACTCTTTAATTTTGTTTGAATAGTTGTACTCATTTGCAAATTTTGGCATACATACTTAGATGAATGATATTGCAGCAAGTGGGAAATCCTTCCACTGGGAGGAGTGAGGGCACTCAAGGAGCTGAAGTTAATGGACCAGCATCTTGTGAGAGAGTTGTCAGTTCCTCCTCTGGAGAAGTTGGAGTTGATTAAAATGCCAAGCCTGGAAAGGTGCAGTGGGCTAATGGCTCCTCCATCTTCACTTTCACAAGAAGAGCAGGAGGTGTGTCTATCTAGTCTCAACAGACTCATCATCCATGATTGTCCTAATCTGATGATCTCTCGTCCTCTTCCACCTTCTGCTCATAAAGGGCGTACCCAGTGCAGAGAGCTCCCGCTTTGTGCGGGGTCTGGAGAAGGGTGTCAGTGGCAAGCCTTACCCTCGCCTGTGCAATGCGAGGAGACCGCGACTCAAACCCAGGACCTTCCGGTCACAGGCGGTAAGACTCTACCGCTTCCACCTTCTGCTCATATACAGAAAATTTCCATCAAAGGAAAACTATCAATAAATATAGATGGCAAATTGCTCAATATAAAATCCAATGAGTTGAGTGTGTTGGATGACCAGATCTTAGCATTCCATAATCTTAGGGGCATCAGATGGTTGGACATGTGGAATTGTCCAAAATTGATTTCTATTTCAAGTGAAGGTTTCAGCCAGCTCACCGGTTTAGTGTCTTTGAGTATACGCAACTGCTCTAACTTGCTCAAGCCACCCATCCCGTTAGAGGCTGCCTCGGAAAAGAGTTCATCTGGAAAGATCCCCGCTCTCCCATCTCTCAAACATCTTGATATTTCGTCTTCCAGCATACCAGGAGGGTGGTTGACTAAAATGCTTCCTCAGTTGCGGTCCCTTGAGAAATCGAGCTTACGTGACTGTCCACAAATAAAATGGTTATGGATCAGTCAACCTAAAGAAACGGAAGGAAGCAACAGTTTGGCTTCAGCAGTGATGTACTAGGCCATGTAACATCCTCTGTTCTCTAAAGCAGCTAACTATTTCTGGATGTGTAGATTTCGAGTTTTATTGTGGCGAGAGAGGCTTTGGAGGATTCACCACTCTTGAGCTGCTAGATATCTATGATTGCCCAAAGCTGAGTTCATTGGCGAGCGGCACTAAAGATGTTGATACTAACATGGATGTTAGATGTAACACCCTAGGCCCAGCACATGGCACAGGCCCACTCTATCGAGGGGTGGGCCTCATCTACGTAGCAACCCGTTTACGTTTTCGTTCTCACTTTACACAAAACGGTTAACCAAAGTTTACTAAGCATCCATGGCCTGGCTACTCACGACACGTACTAAACTTCACAGCTACAGTGGTTTCTGCCCTATAGTAACTCGGTGCTGCAGTAGCAGAATTCGGTCCGGCCCAACTTGGCCCAATGGGCTGGGTCACATTGGATTACTCCCGTCGTCACTTGAAGTGCTTTCTCTTAGTCATCTCCCAGAATCGTCCTACTTCCCTAAAGGCTTAGCCTACCTCAGATACTTGAGCCTCATGGATAGCCCATGTTTGAAGTGTGTACAGCTCCGTTCGTGCATGGCCTTGGAGGAGCTTCGAATTTTGAGGTGTGAACAGCTGGGTGCATTGGAGGGTTTGCAATTCCTCACCTCTCTTCGAAGGTTGACAATTTCGAAGTGTCAACAGCTGGGTGCATTGGAGGGCTTGCAGTTCCTCAGCTGTCTTCGAAACTTGGAGATCGAGATGAATCCTAAGCTACAGGACCAAGAACAGGGTGGAAATCAGATTGAACTGCTCCCTCCATCAATTGACAGACTTGAGATCTCAAATCTCACAAACAATGTCCAGTCCAGTTTGCTGTCCTGCATCCCTGCCATAACCAAATTGGGGATATGGGGAAGTCCAGAATTGACATCTCTACAGCTTGGATACTGTAAGGCACTGACAGAGTTAAACATTAGACATTGTGAGTTGCTTGCTTCTCTACAGCTGGGATTCTGCATGGAGCTGACAGAGTTAGAAATTATAGATTGTGAGTCGCTTGCTTTAATCGAGGGATTCCAGTCCATTCCAAATCTGACGTCCTTCATAGTATCTGCCTCCTCCGGCTTACCTCCATGGATGGAGCTTTTGTTGCAACAGCAAGGGACTTGTAAGATCTTGTCTCGACTGAAAAGACTTGAGATTATTGGGGACACCTCTGTCCTTACCATGTCCCTCTGCAAACAGCTCACGTCTCTATGATACCAAGATTTCTGGGGAAAAAGAACGAGCCCGATGGTCAGCCTAACGGAAGAACAGGAGAGAGCGCTCCAGCTTCTCACCTCCCTCCGAGAGCTCCACTTTGGGGGCTACCCGAACCTCCTGTTACTTCCTGCAGATCTGCGAAGCCTTGTCTCCCTCAAGTCCCTGAGAATCTATTCCTGTCCAAGCATCTCAGGTCTGCCGGAAATGACAGCTTCATGTGATCTTTATGTGCATGATTGCAGCGAGGAGCTAGCTCAGCGTTTTGAAGAATGGGAACTACGGAGAAGGGAGATGATTGATGATGAGATTTATGTGCACAGTTCCATCGAGGAGGTAGCTCAGCGATTCGAAGCATGGGAACTACGGAGAATGGAGATGATTGCTCATGAGGTTGTGAATCATTAACCTCAGCGGTCACTTCCAAGGTACACTTTTGTCTTGAGAATAAATTGGCACCCTCACCCTCTCCTCGCTTATAGAATATAACGTAATTATTAATTAATTAATTAATTGCTCTGCAGATGAGACCTTGTACATGCTACCTCTGCCTGTGCTGCTGTACCTACCGTCTTAGTTCTTCAGCTCAAATATTTTGGCGTGTAGGTGTCAACGTGTCATACAGACACTTGGCCTTGATGGATTAATATGTAAGCACGGTTGGCGCAGATTGCAGAAGCCCTCTTTTTGAAGTGTTGCATATTATGATCAGGGGCGTATATGACCTTTTTCTCCTCCTTGTCTCCCTCAAGGTCCTGAGGATCTCATTCTGTCTGAGCATCTCACAGGGATGTCGGAAATGGTAGCTTCATGTACAATCTATCAGCTATGTGTACAATTGTCGCCAGGAGCTATCTACGCATGCGAAGAATGGGAGCGATGGAGAAGGGAGATGATTAATAGACTATGAATTAACCTACCTTCCAAGGTATGTACACAACCAGATAATTTTTTCTTCGGAAGAGATGAACACCCCTACCCTACTCTTGCTTGAAGTAAAATGAGTGATTAATTAATCGTTCTGCGGACTGCACTCACACGAGATGTTGTAGGTGTTGCCATTGTCAGTGTTGCTGCGCTCACCGTCTTCACTCTTCAAAATTTGGCCTTCATCACGATTGGTGCAGATTGCAGAAGTCCAAGCAAGTTCACAGTGATGCATATTTTTAACAGGGGCTTATATATGTCTCGTTCTTGTTCATTCCATGTATGGCGGCTACTTGTTTGATCATCTTATGCTTCTGTACACTACTCCAGATCTGGACATCACTGCCGTTTCAAAAACCCACTTCACTACCGGATTTCGAACCGACAGTGACATACCGGCAGTGATGTGGGGTTGACATTACTGTCGGTCCTTAAAAACCGACACTGATCTACAGGAAACAGTGTCGGTTGCTGGCTCTACCCGGCAGTGTCTAGTTGAACAACACTGCCGGTTTGTAGTTCCAACCGACAGTGACGGTTGTTTCAAGAGTGTCGGTTCTTGGCTCAAGTCAGCAGTGTTGAGCAAGCCTACACTGTCGGTTCATGGATCAAACCGGCAGTGTTGTTGTAAATATCAGTGTCGGTTGGTAGATCAAACCGACAGTGTTGTAAATATCAATGTCGGTTTGTGGATCAAACTGGCAGTGTTGTAGTAAATATCAGTGGCGGTTCTTGGCTCAAGCCAGTAGTGTTGAGGAAGCCTACACTGTCGGTTGATGGATCAAACCGGCAGTGTTGTCCTAATCATCAGTGTCGGTTCATGGTGCAATCCGGCAGTGTTGGGCAAGCCAACACTGTCAGTTTATTTCTAACCGGCAGTGATGGTTACGACAACACTGCCGGTTTGTTGCTAACCGGCGGTGATGGCCCGTTCGTATATTATTGTTTTATAATTTATTTTAATTTATATTTTTTCGTGGGATCGGGTTTCGCTTTATATACGCTACGTAGACGACAGGTCCATCAATATTAAACATTACAAATGTTATGGTTACAATTCAAATGTAATCCAGATCTCGATCCCTCAAAATAAAAAAGAAATGTTCTCGGACTTCTTACAATAATCTGGCGAGCCGCTCTGGGCCATACTGGTCCTTGTACTTCACGGATTGTGCAATGGAAAATACTCCATCTTTTTCCAATACCTCGGCTAAGATGAATTTTGCCAGCTCCGATTGTAGTGCGACGATCTCCATCTATAGCAACCTTTCGTGCTTAAATTTCTTGCGCTGTCGTTCAAAAAAGATGATATCCAAAGAGGAACAGTAAATTATTTTATTGAATTATTAACAGACATAAATGAAATGGGGATAATACACACCAACTTATCGGCTTCTTCCAATTTCCCGCCGATGTAGCGAAGCATTGCCCACATTACATAAAACCCGCATTCATTGTTTTCCGCCAGCTGTGATAGGTACTTCCCCTCCATTTCGACAACCTTGAATGGGACCGGCTTCCCACCGATATGACTGCTTCGGACACTGAGCAACATTAAAAGGAGAAATATTAGAAAACGAGTATGTGTGATTAGAAAATAATATGTTATTAGGATCACTTACTAATTCAGCACTGACACCAGTGCATCCAGATGATGAAATGGTTTTTTCTTCGAGTCCCATACCTCGAGCAGATTTTTGGCAAGATTAACATAAATGAAAACGAAATAGTTGCTGCAATCACAGAATCCTAATTATCGAATAATCTTAATGAAAAAAGAAGCATAAAATTAAAAGCCGAGAACATATACTCGCAGTTGTAGGCTAGAAGTATGTGGGTTTTCTTCTTCATCGTGAATTCGTCGAAAACAGCAATCAATCTCTGTTTTAGGTCTTCCACATCACATCCATAAAGGCCTAGACATGTCCTCTCATTGACTCGCATGGGGTCCAAGAAGCCTATGTAATCCCATTTGCTTTTTAGAATACAAAATTTTGCTATACACCTACATAAAATCATGGGAAGTGCTCAAAAGTTAACAATTTATGTCTCGAAAGAGTAGTTAATTGTAATATCGTGCGTGTAGGGTACTTACATAGTCCACAGCGTCAACAGTTGAACATCGAGATCGCGTTTTTGGTATAGCTGGAACAAGCACTCCCACTCGACATCGAACTTCTCTTCTTCAGGATAATTGAAAACATGTGGCGAACGGATAATAACCTTAAAACCAAAGTTGTCCGTCTCAGTTGCTTGAGCCATGTAATATTCATGTAAATGGCGCATATATGTTGTCAGATTTTTAAACTCATGATCGGAAACCAAAAAATTGCCCCTTACATACTTCATTGCTGGTATTGACATCCCTTGTACATCATAATAGATGGTCGTGGCCTCTTCCATGGTTAATCCTGGGCTGTCTTCGACGTACTTATGTATGTTCCTTAAATCTTTATTGTGTATTTCTTCGTCTTTTGTTGTAGCGTATTTATTCTGTGTTTGCCTTTCGAATTCAGACTTCAACATAAACGAAGGCAGTGAGGCACAGAGATTGAAGAAACTAATACAATCTTCCTTCTTGATGTGTGCTGTAAATTTTTCTTCCATCAAGGAGGTAACGCTACCACTGAATGGCTTTTTTCTTTTCTGTTGGTCCACTTTGGGAGCATTAGCGACCGAATCCAAGGACCTTTTCTGCGACTGCGATGTCCTTGATCTTGTTTTGGGCTGAGGTGGAGGAGGATGACGACAAGAATTCTATTTTCCCGGCACTGATGAAGATGGAGTCAGACGAGGAGGAGGAGGAGTCTCTTTTCTCGGGGCTGATGAAGATGGAGTCGGACGAGGAGGAATAGAAGGAGACCTCTGTCTTCTCGGGGGTGATGGCTCCAGATGAGGAGGGGAGTGATCTCTGTTGGGAGATGGTGAGTTATCATCGCGGGTAGGCGAAGACTCGCAGTCGTCCTCATCATCAGAGGACAATTGGTGGTCAAGCTTAATGAAGCGCTTGCGCCAGGCCACTTGAGAGCCCTTGTTATGACCAAGTTTTGGCCTGTCTTCCGCTACGGGGTACTCAATGGGTATCTTGTTATACTTCTTATCAAGTATTCTATCAATGGTGATGCGAGCGTACCCCAGTGGAATTGGGCGGCCATTAATTGTCCCATCTCCCACAGGCCAGGCCTAGCCAAGCGCCACCTTGTCCTTTGTCCATTCCTAACGGATGTACAACCTGACATTGATGGGTTCAGTGATGTCGTCCACCGGATGAGGCACATTCGCCTCTTCTTCGTCGAGCGGGGTCGATCCGCAGCCGCTGCGACCCCTAAACTGTGGACTAAAGGCAGTAGGGGTAGGGTTTTGTGGTACTGCTGACCCCTTGGACAGCAAAATTTGCTTGACTTGCGCTTCAACGGTCGCCTCAATCTGTGCTTCCATTCTATCTTCCATCTCTTTTAGTCTCCTCAAATACTCCGCCTTATGTTCCTCTCTACCCCTCAAGCGGCTCCGGTAAGTGTTAGATTCTTGGGGGAATGCTAGTTTCTAAGGAACAACACCGGTTCCTCTAGTGCGACCAGGGTGCTCCTTGGTTCCGAGTGCTTGGGTGAGCACGTCTTTCTCCCTATTAGAAGTGCGAGTCCCTTGCCTCACCTCCTCAGTTACCTGGGAGATCCTCTGGATGAGTTCGCTCATGGGTAGATTTGAGGAGCTAAAGCTCCCGTCCTCGGCGTGCCGTACATTCCTCCCCATACAGTATATTACCGATATGGGCTCCCAATCGATGGTCTCAACCTGAACACCTTCCTCAGCAAGGCGATCCATCTTTTGAAGTTCTGCTTCAAATTCTGGCATCTTTTTGGCGTAGCCACGAGAGCCGAGATGATGAGGATTCATCGCTTTCTGTGAATTCTCCTTATTCTTCCTGCTCAGTTCTAAGTACTCCTCGGATAACCTGTATTCCTTGAAAGCCTGCCAAAAGTCCTTCTGCTTGCTAAACTGTCCACCATCGAAATCTGGCTCTTTATTTTGGAGGACAAAATTCTAGTACAATGTCCCCTTGAAATTCTTGAAGCATGTTCCCATGATTTCTTTTGCTTTTTTCTTGACTAACTCCCTGTCATACTCGGCTAGGAAAGTGAAATACTCTGGGATCTTGACATCCCATATGTAATCCTTCTCGCTTTCGAGAACCCTCCACCGGTCATCATCTTTTCCAATCCACTTCCTATACTTAATCAGGATGAAGTCCCTAACAAGTAACCCGATGATAGTCTTGTATTTGGTCAAAGCTATAGGCGGTGAGAGTGGATCCCCGAATTCATCGAACTCAGTAATGTGCCAGTGTGCATTCCTACCAACAGGAATCTTTGACACGCCTCGGTTGGATCTGGCCTTCCTGCTACCCGAACCCTCTAGCTCCTCGGCCGGCGGAGGCTCCTGCTAGAGACACCAAGTAAGGTATGACCCTCTCAATTGATTAG